GCAGCCCCCCCGTCCCGACCTTGAGAGCGCCCGCTGGACACCAGAGCCTCCCGTCGCGCAACCACTCCTTTTCGCCCACCCAAGGCCCGATCGGCCCTGCCTCTGGGACTACGACTCCTACCGTTTCTACCAGAGGCCCGCCCCCGTGTAACCAGCCTGGGGGCCATGACACTCTCCCCCCCTGAGCTACTAGATGAGGACCTAACACGCCGAGCCCTTCCCTTAAACCCCCGGGACCCCCGGGCCCTAACCGGTGACGGGCTGCTATCACCTGACCCCAAACCTGAACCCCCCCCAGAACTACGCCCACCTATCTGCTCACCAGCGCAGGGAAATCCCCACCCCCCACCCCGGCAGGCCCCCCGACTAGAAGCACCCCCTCCCCTCGGTACCTCCAGCCGGTCCCCAGACCCCGCACCCCTAACCTGTCCTGAACGCCCTGCGCACCTCGACCTCCTGCCCCCCCCTGATGGCAAACTTCCCCCTGCCGAACCCCCTGGCCCTTCCACCCTCCCGGCTACTGGCCCTCGCTCCAAGCTCACTACCCTGGAACTACCCTGCGCACCCTCCCCCCTAGACCTCCCTGCCCCCGCTCTAGAAGGCACCTGACCCCTCTCCACGTCCCCCCCAGGTCTCTGAACCCTGTGCCCAGTCCTCCTGCGCTGATTCACGCCAAGGGGGTCCCGGCCGGAACCCCCTGCACTTGCCTGTTCCAGGGGCGGTCCGCGAGCTCCTTCCGCACCGGCCCCGCCAGTCCCCGCCATGGGTGTAGTAGATGCCCTCCCGGGCTGCAATCCCGCGTCCTCACCGGTTCCAGGGGGCCGCCCGATGTCTCCCGCGGCCCCCGCTCCAGGCGCAGCCCTCCCCGCACTGGGAGCTGCACCGCCCGACTCCCGGGTAGCCTCCCGCCGGCTACCGCTTCTCCGACGTCCCGGTAACGCGCCGGGAGGCGGAGCCTCAACCATGCGGCTACCGGGTCCGTTTCGGCCTGGTCCCGCCGCCGCCCGGCCGCTGGAACCGTCTCCACCGGACTCCGCGCCTGGGCTCAGCCGTCTCGGCGGCCTCCGAGCCCGCACAGGCCGACCTCCGCCGCCCTCATGATCCGCAGCACCCGCCAGGGCTGGTCCAAGTTGCGCCCGCAGCCAGTCCACGCCACGTCCTTGAGCCGCCAACCGGATCCGCTCCAACAGCTCCTCCATGTTATCCTTCGACCCTGCAGAAGGAGAGAAAACAAAGACCCCACCAAACCAAATCTGTGGACACAGGAGTGCACACAAACTCAGCAAGGTAGTAATTAAAAGTGAAGGCTTTAAAATGGCTGCCTATTTAAATAGCCAAGCCTACTTACCCATAACTCCCTACTTCCTTCCCTCCTCCTATGCCCGCCTCCTAACCCCTGTCAAGGCCTTTTTTCGCTTAGCTGCGCTTTGGCTACATGGGGCTACAATTTCAGGCTGAAAAAACGACTAAGTCCCATAGCCGATTGGGACTTAGTCTTTGAAGCTGTAAAATCAGTAGGGGAGAAGGTGTTCGCGGAAATGTGTAGCCGATTTTAATTCCATGAATTTGGCTACACATACCGCTGACCTCGTCGAATGATCAAAGATGGCCGCCGCCACGTGTTCGGCAAACGAACAAAGGCCACCCAGCATTGTCAATTAAGCAGCTTCTGGGAGGTAAATTGCCTGCACACTTCCACTTCTGGGTGGTCTGCCTGTGTGGTACTTGGTTCAGTAAGCCCCATTTACTGAACCAAGTGGGAAATAGCCAGGCACAAAGGGTTTTAACCAGGTCTGGGGACACAGGGGACACCGTCTTAAAGGGGCAGTGTCCCAAACAAGTCTGGGGACACCGTCTTAAAGGGGCAGTGTCCCAATCTTCCTGATGTCCCAAAAAGGTGTTTAAAGGGCCAGCACCAGTCCCATAAAGAGTCCATAAACCACAATATGCTGACTGTCTTAAAGGGCCATACACACCCAATAAAAGTGCATACATTTTCACCATCTCCCAGGGGCCATAGTCATGTGGAAGGAGGCTTGCAAATAGGCTTCTCCAATGCAATGTGGCGAGATTGGTCTCATCACATCATGTATAAGAGGTACGTCATTTTCTGTTTGCCAAATTGCTGTTATCACTTTATCTGTACAATTTGTATCAAATCTCTAATTAATAAAATCTTTTTATGTGCAAGTTTAATCTGGTCTGCTTTGGGTAAGTCTCTATTGTGTGCATGGATCTAGTGGGGGAACAGATTTTCCCATAAAGCACCCAGCACCCTTTCACCGCACTACTATCCATATTATATGATTATATAAGCAAAAGCCATAATCTTCCCTGGCATGGCAATCAAGTGGTATGGTCCTTGAGAAGTTGCAGAGGTACAGGTTTCCATGATGGCTGCCGCAATTACTTGCGTTCTGACCGTGGGGATTTTTCGCAAGTTCTTGTAGACGCGTGGGAGACATCTAGTGGTATAAAATTATACTGCGGATAAAAATTACCTGGGAAATTAAAAAATTCAAGCAATTTTGCAATGTATAGCCTGCCTTTACTCCTTGCAATTATCTCCAAGGTTAGTTATGCTTCAAAATAGTTATGCTTCATTGAAGTAATTAATTATTTCATTAGACTAATGAAATGAAATTCTTCTCCCACCTTCCTTAGAAGTGAATATAGAAAAAAAGGTGAGTCCAGTTCATGAGGGTACAAAAAGAGTGCATTGACCGCCTGAAAGTAGTAACATATGGCCTTGTCATTTCAGTCCTAGAACCTCTCAGGATTCATCTCCAAGAAAGAGGAAACAGAAAGCTAATCTAAAAAGCGCCAGAGGGGAAGAACCTAGGCTTCCAATGTATGGAAGAAATAGCGGAGAGACAAATTTTACAAATGGATTTCTGATGCCATCTCTGAAGGCTTTCAATCAGCATCCAAAGGAGTAATTAAAAGGTATAGAGAAGCTTCCACCTCTTCGGGATCTAGCCTAGAGCAAAATGATCCAAATTCAGAAGAAGAGGAGTACGATGAATACTGGAACAAATCACTAGGACTCCAGGAAGGCGGATA